AATAGCATATATATATATATATCCTCTGTAATAGGTTTGTTTGTCTCTCTCTCTCTCTCTCTCTCTCTCTCTCTATATATACACATACACATACATACATTTAAGGAAACTGTGGTATATCCTTAAAGCAATTAAATGGGACAGAATTAACATGAAGTTGGGTAAGCTGCGTTCATCAGAGTTAGGGTGACCAGATGTCCCATTTTTAAAGGGACAGTCCCATTTTTGGGAACTTTTTCTTATATAAGCGCCTATTGCCCCCGCCGCTGCCCCCCCCTTCCTTGTCCTGTTTTTTCACAGTTGCTATCTGGTCACCCTAATTAGAGTAAAAGTTGTGAAGACTACAGGAAGTACATATATGAATTGGAAAAAATAGCATTTTTTTGTCTCTCACTCAGAAAAAGAGCAGCACCCTAGTTTTCTCATGGTATTTTTATTAATGCTTCAGATTAATAGTAGGACACTATAGACAGCATATTAATATGCACCTTGATGCATTTTATACTTATTATGGGTCCAAGATATTGTTATAAATAAGTCACTTCCCTGTCCTTTTTGTCTTCATGCCATTACATCCGCTTGAATTGATATCATTTATTTTTATCAATGATCTAACCGAGAAACATGCTGCATCTCCCTGCCACTGTCAGTCTACCTACCACTTCAATTTTTCACCTAGATGGACTTCCATTTACATGGTGGAATCTGGAGGATCTTGTCAATCCTCTCACCTTTCATCTTTAAATAAATATGAATTCATGAGCTCCCATGTCTCATCTACAATGTTTCTGGCCAAAGAAGCTCAAACAGGACTCTCTTCAGGGGACATTAATGGCATTTGTCAGTTTGCCCAAGGAGACTTTTTAGAAATGTGAGGTTTAACATCACCTGAAATATAAGATGTTCTATCAGTGCAGAACACTATCATTAGGCCACATTAGGCTTTGTTCTCATTGTCAATTTTGACAGAATTTTTCCATTTTCTGAATGGAAAATTCAAAATGAAAAAAATGTTAGAATCATTTCAGAATAAAACAAATTCCTTCATTTCAACATTTTGAAACAATTTAATGTCAACGTATTATTTTCAAAGTAAATGAAATTACACTTCTATTTAGAAAAATCCCATTGGAATATCCAAATTTTTTAGCCTAAAAACTTTCTGGAAAACTTTTTTCCAGCCAGCCCTATTATAAGTACATCTATAGAAGGTGTTATAAATGGTTAGGAGCCATGGCTATAAGGAAGCTTACAATAGACTAACCATTTATTAAAAACATCTATTAATCATGTATTAATTTTTTATTAAATATTTATGAATGGAGCCTTAATATAAAGTGTAACCAATATTATTCTGTTATGTTTCTGAGCCTCAGGCTTTGTATGTACGTTTTTCTTTACACATGGAGAGAGTACAAACCAACCCTTCTAACAGCTTTGGTGTTACCAGTAGAGTATGTTGACATTGAGCCAAGGGCTACATCTCCATACATGGCAGCAAGTGGGAAGTAGATTTCTGTTTGGGATGACTTTGTGTAGGAGCAAGTTATACAATGTTGTACAATGTTTACAGACAAAACAAGCTTCCAGAGAATACAGACAAACTTTTTAAGTCACTGAAATCTGAAACTTACCTGCAAACTTGATGTGGAATTTATTTTCGGGTTTTAATATTTGGACATATAAAGGACATTTTGGAGCAAAGTCTTTAACTGCCCAGGCTCTTAAAATGGTTTGATGATCCTAGAATAAAATAGGAAATACAATGTGATGACAATGGAATTCAAGTAATCCTTTTGTTAAATCAAACATAAAAAAGTCCTACTAGCTGCTGAGCAATCTGATGACTCCATTTCAGATAGGTCACTTTCAAATAATATAGCACTAGCTGATTGTATACATTTATGTATTTTATAGTGCTATACTGTATGGTGGGGTCATGTACGCTGCCAGGTTGCCATTTAGATTTGTACAGAAATCTAATCTATGTAATCATTTATATGGCCCCATTATTGTAGCATCTGGACTAAAAAGCCATTAATGAAGATGACAGCACAGGAAAAATAAATAGATCACTTATAAACATGGAATTTTTTTTAAAAAGTCCACATTTATGCTAAACGTTAATGGTCCTTTATAATATAAGTAAAAGTCCATGCTCATCTGTTTCCTTATACAGAGGTGAGTCTCTGCCTGTGGACTGGAGTTTTGAAGGGCATGAAAGAGGGCATGTTGTCTCCATGCCAAGTTTTCCTCCCTTAACTAAGCCCTATGGAAGCTATTCTATGTTGCTTGTGCAGAGTGGGAAGGGAAGCAGGAAGCAGCCTTACTCCCCCATGTTCTCCTTCCTCTTGCACCTGCAAAGCAAGACAGTCTGCAGTCACTTACACAATTTCTCCCTTGCAACCACAAGTTGTTGACTGGCTACTTTTACTTGATGAATACAGGTATTGTTCTTTGTTGTTTTATATCTGTGTCCTTCAATTATACTTACTGCATCAGACTTAGCTCAAAGGAGAAGTGTATACAAATAAAATGTCCTTAAGTGACATTGTAAGGAATATGATGATACTAATTGATTTTAAAAAGTTATTTAATATGCGACCCTAGATTTTAAATACATCCGGAGATCCAAGTAGCACTTGATGGTAATTTTGCATTTTTGATTTAACCTGGAAATAGGTAGATTATTCTTTCCACAGCACACCCAAGCTTAATGTTGCTTTTACAATTTTGGAAAATATACCCAAAGGTAAAAATCCCCCATTACCCAGGAAATAATGAAATCTTATTTCTTATTGGGGGTCTGTTTCCAGTAATCTCTGAAAAAAATTCAAATTTAACTCATTTTTATGAAAGATGTATGTATTGAAACACAGTTTCCTGTCAGTTCCACATCATAGAAAACTAAGAAACGTGGTGGGGTTGGGTTTTTGGTTTGGTTTGTGTGAAACAACTCTGTTTTAGCAAGATAGTTAAGTTAAATGATTTTCACACACTAACTGAATGATCAAGCACATCATAATAATCCTGTTTCTGAAACCATACCATTTTATTGAGTCCCAGCATTTGAATGAGATAAAAAGGTATGGAGTTAACCATGTTAAATCCCAAGGCTTATGAGCCATAATAGACCTAATTTGTCACTTTTTTGAGAAACTATAAAAATGTGTAGATATAATGGTAGAGTTTAATTATAGACCAAGAATGCCAGTAAATTTCCAAGACATCTATTATATTTTCCATACTTTAAGAATGAATTGCTCTCAGCAAGAATTCTTTCATTATTGCACATCATGAAATAAGTATTAATAGAGTCATATATTCAATTTCATTAAATATTGTTAAATTCAACACATTTAGCCTTAGAGGAACATATCAATTTTCATTTATTTCCGAACAAAAAATAACTGAGAGCAGAGCACAGGAACCAATTCTGTGGCCATGCCTAGTCACGAAATTGGTGCTATTAGAAGAGAGAATGAAAAGAATGATTCATTACATTTGCAATGTCATCAGCAAGAAAAGCTTTCAGACTGGATCACAAGGGAAAATCTCTGCCTGAAATAGTGTGTAATTGATATCTTCAGACCACTCCACTGTAATGTCAATTGAGGCAGTACCACATATTCTTTCTGTGAAGTACTAGAATAACATGACAGACATTTTCAGGGAGGTAAGGTGGATTTGTTCATAAATTGTGTTTGTGTTGCGTTAACTCTCAATAAGATGTAAAGAAGACTGAGTTTCAAGAAACTGCATGTGGAGCTCCCTTTAAATGTCTAGCTTTAATGTGGTCACAGAAGTTCCACCTCAGCACTATGCACAAAGCACTATGCTGTAAGCATTCCTTTTAGTTTGCAAAGACATCTAGCAGGCTCAATTAATTCCTTTTCCTATAGAAGGTGACTTTCCATGCCATGCATGATCCGCGTTCTTACTGTTTTGTCTCATTAATGAAATGATGCTCTAATCCACTGCAATGGTCACAGAAGGCCCTGAAAACAGCAAAATAGATGCTTGGACACAAAGAGATTATTTCACACCCCAGCATGTGTGAAAGGTTTGGAGGTAGAGCTGGGCCAGGGCTGGAAAATCTACATAGCTGTAGATCCCTTAGCTAATCTTTTGTGGAGGGATAGAACAACAGTTGTAAGGGATAATGCAGCCTTCAGTCATTGCCCCTTTGATAGGAGGATTTCTTTTCCCCCCACCTCTTGCATGGCAATATACACACAGCTTGTTTACTTAGGTTGTGTGTAGGGATGAGGATTTGCCTAAATGAATTTTAAACTGCTACTGATACATTAGACGCAAATTATTTTCCTTGCCCATGTTTAATATAATTAAATAAATGATGTAGATTAGATTTACTACAAAAAGTTCTAATTGCATCAGTGCTAAATGCATTCCAGTTCTAATGCATCAGTGTTATTCTCAAGAGTTAGATAAAATTTCCCATGATAGATGGAAAGCATACCAGCTAATGTTAACTTTTGTTATACACAGCAATCATATATATATATATTTTTTATTCCAAAATCTATTCCAAATATTTTCTTTGCAGTTTTTATTTCCTTTGTTTTAATATTATTTCTTCCCAGTAGCTTAAAGCTGTCAGGAGCTATAGTGAGCAGGTTTTTTTTTGTTTGTTTTTTTTGTAGAAAACAAGAAATTTGTATTAAAGACAGACATTTTTAATAAAAAACACATTGTCCTAAATGTAAAACACCAATAGATTATTCATATAAAGAAAAGAGGCAAACCTTTAAAAGTTAAAATCCATTTCAATTTTAACATTTGCAGAACATGTATTGCCACACTTGTTATACCACTACATGCTGTAGCTCCTTTTTTAATATTCTCTTTGTGATCCTGACAGTACAGAGGTTCACCTTGAAAAATATTTATAAACTTACTTGTGCAATGCATTCAGGTATTCATTACAAGATCATCTCTATGCAAATGCATTAACTCAACCTGCCCTCATGGCACTCACTATCACATTGCTCTTGTTCTTGTTACACACATATGATTTGTGTCATTCAATTTGTTACTAGCGTGGGGAAACTTCCAAATGCAACTTGGACAGAGTCTAAAGGGAGCTAAGCTGGGATAACATATGCCCCCAAGAAGCCTGCTTTAACTAACACATTTTTAAGCTCTTTTGTTAGTGCCTTTTAAACCCTTCCTGTTACTGTATTTGCTGCACATCTATTCTTTAATAAATGAGTAACACCTACTAATACACAGTATATCAAAGTCAGAAGTGTTGTGTAAGGAGATATTGTCTGGTTAGTTGGTGTAAATCTAAGGTGGTTTTATAGACCTGCTGAGGGAGTTAAAAGAAGGTGTAAATTACACCAGCCTGGACTCCTGCAATCTCATTTGTGAACTTCTAAATGCTTTGTATAGCCACATATTTTTGTACTAATACTTGACTGGTGAAGAGATTTGTACAATTTAATAAATAAATAAATAAATAAATAAATATCTCAATTTTTACAGTTGTTCAGAACAAAATTGTTTAGAATAAAGTTTGTTTTTATATGGCATTTTTTATAGTCATGGTAACTAATATAATGAGTTAAGAGCTCATATACTAATTCAGTGACTGTAGGAAACCTGAAGAGTCCATTCAGTGATTACCACAGAGGGTAATCTGCTGCCACAGGGGAAAGAGTTAGACTCCAAAAGATGCTCTTCTCCATGTCACTTCTTGGACTGAACAAATAGCATTCCTTACCAGAGAAGAGATAAGATAACTAATAGGGCGTTTGGAAAGTTGACAAATGACTGCCCACACTACAGGAAGCTCCCACTTCTGCTAGGGAGTAAGAAAAGTGGCTTGTGGCCCCATTGAAATCACCTGTTATCTTGCTGCTCTCCTCCTAAACTCTAGTGATGGACCATGGATCAGGCCCAACACAATCCTGACTCTGCAATTCATGGACCTATTGAAGTAGCAGGCAATGGCAGCCTCTTGCCAGCCAACAGCAGTGATAACAAATGAGCAGAATCACTGACTAGTCAGAGCCAACACAAGCTTTGGGTTGAGGGGAGAGGAACCATTTTGGTCTGAGTTATGATGTGCATTTTGGTCAGGTGGCTGAAACAGGGACACTTACATTTTGTAGAGATGCCCAGTTTGATTGTATGCTTAAAATATTTGCATGCTCTTGAATGGATCTTTGACTATTGTGCAGGTGGAAACTTAGAGGCATAAGAGTAGCTAAGCAATGGCATTTCTACCAGTCCAGCGCACCACTTGAGTGTTGCAGTTTAAAATCAGCTTTGGAAATAAGATAAAGTGTCAGGGTGCACTCTGAAACCAAATCCTTTTGGCTCAGTAGCAAGCTATAACTATCTTAGCCATTCTTAAACAGTGAACTTATTGATGATGAAACAGGGAATTGGCTTTGGTAGGTTCAAGCTTTCTCAAATTCAACCATAAAATATATCCTTTTTTGAGTTTTAAATTCCATTCTGATAGCCGAGACTCAGCTGCCTTATTTCTGTTCTTATATCCCCTCTGCATGCTTTATCCCTCACCCTCCCTCTTGTCCATCCTCCAACCAATGTTGCTCTGTTTTCCATAAAGGTAGGAAGGGCAAAGAAGTGTGCATGGAGGGGTTGGGAGTGGAAAAACTAAATCTTAGTGTATTTGAGGAAAAAAGAGAGATAGACTCTATGGGCCATGCCCTTCATATAGACATTTACACCCATGCAAAACTGCTACCAGATCAGAATGGTGGTGACAATTTGCACAGTCACAAATATCTACAAAAGTTGCAGGTCAGTATAGAATCAGCCCACAGTCTACGATGGAAGAAAAATGTTGTCCTTAAGTGAGCATTGGTCAAGAAAACTCTCTCTGATGGGGTGGGAAGAATAAAGGCAAGACTCCCATTGGGATAGAGTCGTAGTTACTGGGTAGGACAGCCCAGTTTAAGGGCAGGAATTGAACTCAAGAGCAGGGCAAGTCTACTGAAGAACTATCTGAGTGTAGGACTAAGCAATACACAGTACTCTACCACCAAAATGGGGAAGCGTTGGTATAAGCAGTGCCGCCACGACAAGGCCCTTCCCCTTAGGCACTGGTTATAGGGGGGAAAAAGTCTTTATAGCAATATGTAAAAAATTCAAGGTAACAGGAAAGGGGAACACAATTGATGCCCCTTTATCAGTGCTCAATGTGAAGGGAGACACTATATTGGCCTTAGCCACCAGTGACCCAGCCCACGTTCCAACAAGGCATTCAGATCCCCGATAGCAAAAGGTAACAGGAACATTTCTTCAATAGTATTTCTCTTTTTGAATGCTGGCTTCTCTGAATATATTTATAAATCTGTGTTGTCAGCTATCTCTTCTGGGAGTGGCATAGCTAGTGCTGTAAGCACAGAATGGAGACTGTAGTAGAAAGACTGCTTGGAGGGGTTCCAACACTCCAAGATGCCTCTGCAACCCCAAAGTGGCCAATGCTGGCTGGGATGGATGAAGGACTACATGCCCAGCACGTTCCCCTAGACAGCCTCCTTTGGAGTTCTGAATATAGTCTAAAGCTGTCCTTTCCTGGTAGGAACTTCGGGGAAGATAACACCTACACTGCTTTTCCTTCATCAAGGTGAATCTTTCCTGGAGGGTAGCTGCCCATATCATTGCAGTAAGGTGCAAGTTGCAACCTCCTGCACATGCAGGGGTGAATCAAACTCTCTAGTTGCAAAGTTGTTATTCTGGATCAGGTGGTTAAATAATTTAGGATGGTTTGGTTACTAGTATGTTTTGGATTGCTACCAGTAGAAGGTACCATTAACAATTCAACAAGTATGAATTTACCCAGGTACTTGGAGTAACGATAGCCTCTGCCTGGACTTAGAACAGGAGATGCCACAATATCTCAGTCACTCCAGCATGGCAAATTCTGAGTGCCTGCTCTCCTTGAAGCATACTATTTGATTGTCCTTCCAGTACCTTTTGCTGCTATGTTCTCAAGATTTTGTAACTTATTATGAAGGCCCTTTTTGGAGGTATCAAATGTTAGATGATGACATCAGTTTTGGGAATGTCTTGGTAGGCACCTAGGTCCAGATGTTCACATTTGCACTGATGTCAATTCAGTCATGCCCATTTACACCAGCTGAGCATCTGGCCCTCTGTTTTGCTTTGAATTAACAAAACTTTTTAAGCATATTCAAGCACCTTCTAAGGTGTCTTAGTACAAATGAATAATTACCCCACTAAAATCTGCAGCTAAGGGAGCATATATTCCACTCCAGGGGATCATCATTCTTTTCTGACCTACAGCTTTATTGGTTCCTTTATCCTTCCTTCCCTGGTGGTGCTGCTGCTCTGTTCCTGATAACATTGCCTGAAAAGTGACATGTTTAAGGTGGGGAGAAACTGGGATTGGAAGTCTGAGATAATGGTTATGATGATTGGATTATAGATTTATTTATTTATTTATTAAATATACTCTATAGCTTTATGCAAAACCTTAAAGGTTTCTGTGTTAAAAGTGAAGGATGGGAGAACACTTGGAAAATTCATCACCACCTTTTATTGCGTAGAATGAGCTCAGTAGCCTGAGAGGTAGATTATACAATATTACAAACTGGGTCAAGTCCAGCTAAATGTCTTAGATTTTACATCTAGGCATGTTTCTTTGTTTATACATCCCTATATAAAAGGATTTTGTTAAAAAGGTGGGGAAGATAAGTTTAATTGAATTTACTGAAAATGATAACCATGTGCACTAGCAAATTACAAAAACTGGCTTGATTTCCTCTGGTAATATGTAAGATTCCTAATTTAACTCCACAAATGCTCAAACCTAAGTGAACCATCCTCTGCAGCCTGAGACCCTCTTGAGCAAAAACTACTAACTGTATTGTACTTTGGGATGGAGGTGTGGAGGAAAGTAGTAAGATGTGATCATAAAACTTACTTCCGTTAGTGGAGTTTTCAAGTGGGTCTTTTAAAGCAACAGGGCAGGACGCTACTCCAGTGCACTCTAGCTCTTATGAAAATGTTTTTAATTTTATCACAGATTTGTGGGAATCTGGATCTGTTTAAATTATCAATGGCCTCCCTTTGTGGATGTGTACTTCCCATTATTAACAATTGTTACCAGACAAATCATAATGAATGATTTATTCAAAGAACCCAGCCTCTTTTACTTGTGAATCGACCACATTTTGTCAAATTCAATAGTTATTAAAAATTAATCACATGATAATTTATATACATAATTCTTAGTCTGTAGCTGTTTGGAAGCAGTTCACAGTGAGTATCTGATTTTTGAGTGGAAGCATAAGTAATATGATATGTCTGTTTCCTGACTGGATGAATATAATTCTTAGAATTGGGTTTCTAGCCCAAACATTGCAAATAGTCCTATTGATTTCAATAAGATGTTCTTCATGACTTGAAGCTACTCTTGTGAATAAAGATTTATTGGTTTTTTTGGCCTATATAATTATAAAGAATCAGTATATTTCATATTTCTTGTACCTTATATTACCCCTCTGACACAATTTTGTTATAAAAATCACAACAATGTATTTTGCACTGCATGAAAAATGAGTTTTATGTTTACATACCAAGATTTTAAAACTCACTAATTTTCTTGAATAAATCTGACCTTAACTCTCGTTTGTAAAACTTTGCTTACTGAGAAAGCAGTAATTTACATAAAATTGTATGTGAGATGTACTATTAAATCCTGTGTTATAAACGAGTGCAATCCTGTCTCCACTGAAATCTACTGCCATTGACTTTAAAGTGGCCAAGATTTCACCCTGTATGTCTAAGATGTATGTGTAAATTGGAGAATTATAACATTTATCCCTAGTTTTCTTAGACTCTAATCTCTTTGGGGGAGGGGATTCTTTTTGTTCCATGTTTGTGCAGCACCTACTACAATGAGGTCCTGCTCCCTAACTGGGGCTCCAATCTGCTGCGATAATACAAATAGTAGTTTACAAAGAATAAGGTCCCCACAATAATAAGCCCCCCATCCCCCTCATCCTTATGTCAGATCCAGAAGGGTGGACACCTACTCCTGCACAGAGCTCCATAATAGTATTAACAGTGTGAAGAGCATACACATGATTCTTAGAAGTATTTCTAAAGAACTTACCGCTGCTGTCCTGTCCACTTCGCACCGGCTACTCAGAATGAAACAGGCCTCGGCATCATCCATCCTAAAAGCAAACGGAGAAAGCAAAAACTATCAAATGTTATATATTTATATTTAAGTTACGCATGTCATGTGTCTGACGAAGTGGGTATTCACCCACAAAAGCTTATGCTCCAATACGTCTGTTAGTCCGTAAGGTGCCACAGGACTCTTCGTCGCTTTTTAATGTCCTTCTATAGTGCATTTCCTCCACTTATCTCAAAGCACTTTATAGAGAAGTGAAATAATATCTCCATTTTAAAGATGGGAAATCTGAAGCACAGAGAGATTAAGTGATTTGCGTATGGTCACACACTGAATCAATGGCAAAACTGGGAAATTCAATGCAAGTCTCATGACTCGATCCTCTATATAGTTTTGAGAGGTTAGAAATTTGGAACATGAGTGCTTTTATATCAATGCAAAGCAAGGCCCCAGTTCCACAAGCACTTATTCATGTGTTTCAATTTTACTAACACAAGTAGTCCTTCGAGTCCTAGAATCTATGAATCTATTAGGAAAAAGTTCCTAAATGTCAGGTTGGTTAAACACTGGAATAAATTGCCTAGGGAGGTTGTGGATTTTTCTGGATTTTACAATATGACATTACAGGATGCTTTCAATAGAATTACTCACATACACAAAGTTAAATGTATACATAAGAGTTTGCTGGTCTGGTCCCAAAAGTCAGAATTTAAAATCCCAGAACATTCCTAAATATTCTCTGTTTACATATCTGTACAAGTTGCATTATAAACTAGTTACATTTCTGGAGATGGTAAATAGTGGTTCTTCAGAAGAATAATGATGTGGGTGAGAATATATCAAATTAATTGCATTGTATTAGAATGTTTCCGTTTCTCATTGCAATGCAGTTACATAATGGCATTATTTTTTTCTAGGGCATCTTAAAATATAATCACGTTTTATATCTCATTATTGATGATGAAATGTTAATTAGGAAATACAATTAGATATTGACATTAGATTAACACAGGATTGCTGTCCATTAAAGACTGCTGCTCAATGGGCAAAATTCATCCTTGAACCTAGAGCCAGCACAAAACCTATGCCCCACTTTAAATCCCATTTACCTATTCAAAATAGGAATTCCAGGAGATTTAAGTACTGTCCTTGTGCTGGCCCCTTGCAAATTAGCTAATTTCACCACATGTGACAGAGGACATCTACAAATGTCATTCCTTTTCTTTTTTTTTTAATTGAAACCTGGACACATTGTAGTAAAGGATTGTCGGAAGAGGTATATATGTCCTGTGTAGAACTGATTGAATTGTTTGTTATGAACAAATAATTTGACAAATGTATGAAAATAATCTGACTAATGTCTGACTGTATTATATGAATGAACAATTTTCAGCCTACTGGCTGTTTGCAAACAATTCAGTATTTGCTACTGGCATGTGACTGGTCATTTAAGTCACATGGTATTGTTTCTGCTCGATATGTGGGTCAATACAAGTTTGCAGATAGGATAATAATGAATAGCAAAGCTTGCATGAATCAAAGTATTTGCACTTTATTAATGTAGCAATTCCTCAAACATTGTTGTGACTAAAATCACATTTCAGTGAATGTTTTTGAATTTAAAAAAGGCAGATGTTTCACTTCTAAGGTACATAATAACAAGATTTCATAGGCCACTCACATTTGAATTTCCATGTTGAATACAGAGATTTTTAGAATTATAGGCAGGACTTGTGGCATTATGTATTATTATTTTTGTCTCATACTTTCCATTACAAAACCTCATTTTCAGTTGCTTACAACTTTGCAAAACATTAGCCATTGGGCTGAAATTTTCCATGCTGGGTGCCCGCTTCCAGTGCATTCCCTTCCAGATCATGTAAGATTACTAAGTCTCACCAGTTCTCTGCTGTCAGCAAATATCTGTGATACCCACTGGCAAAGTGTGTATCTTTCCCTTTCTAGTGCTGCTCTACATAGAGGAAGACAACTTACTATTGCTATCAGTTACTCCATTAGCTCAAATAGCAGAGGACCGTGTGGTGAATGTAAAGGTTCCAAGCCTGCTGATGAGCCATGTGTGTGTTAATATGATGGCACATGATGAAATTTCTGAATTCTCAGTTGGCCTTTTTAAAAAACCTATGATATTACACACACACCAATGTTACTAAAACATTTTATTAAAGTTGCAAAGTCAAGCTCGCAAAAGTTAGGCGATGACAGAATTAAAATGGCTTCAGACAGTCTATTGAGGGCTGTTGTGCCAACCAGAATGACCATGGTTGATGGTGTCGCATGAGGCATAATGTAGTGAAGTTTCCACATCTGGCTTACTCCTGTGAATCCATGAATATATGGGGCAGCTTCATGGGCACCCCAGGTAAGGTTAGGTTGTGTACCCCTTTGTGCATTGATGGACAGGCTGAGAGCATGGTGTGTTGGGGTGTTTTTGTCCATGCGAGTAACATGGTGGCAAAGTATGCAATGCTGTTTTTGAATATTATGAGTGTTTTGAAGGGAGGCCAGATCACTGCCTATGAAACCTTAATTCATCCTCCCGTGCTTATGCATTATGGTACAGTAAAAGTACATAATCATACACTATTTTTCCAGAGGACCCCTGCCTTCCTCAGTGCACAGGATAGACTTGCTCTGGGGATGAATCAGGGTTGTGTAGTGAAGGAGGCTGTCTGTAGGATCCCTGCTTCGTTGATGAAGTTGGAAGTTGTGTACTGAATGAGGCAAGTGATCGAAGAAAATTAAAAACGAAGGTCTCATGATTAAGCAGGGCTGGCTCCAGGGCTTTGGCCGCCCCAAGCAGCCACAAAAAAAAAAAAAAAAAAACGCGATCGCGATCTGCGGTGGCAATTCGGAGGGAGGTCCTTTGCTCCCAGCGGGAGTGAGGGACCGTCCGCCGAATTGCCACCAAATACCTGGACATGCCGCCCCTCTCCGGAGCGGCCGCCCCAAGCACCTGCTTGCCAGGCTGGTGCCTGGAGCCGGCCCTGTGATTAAGACAGTTGAATTCTGTCCTGCAGAATTTGATTTGATACCTGCCTATGTCATAGAGTTCCCAGATGATTCTGCGCAAGTCATTTTAATCAAAATTTTGGAAGGTGGTCATACTGTGTTCTTAATTTTCTGGGTGCCTAATTTGAGATCCTGGGGCCTGATTTGCAGAAGTTCTGAGCACTCATAACTGCCACTGCAATGGGTGCCATGCTTGAATGTTTAAAATTCTATATAATTCTAAGAACTCTGAAAAATCAGATTCTAGGCAACTCAAATTGGGCACCCAAAATTAGTGACTACTTTTGACCTTAATCTCTCTCTTCCTCAGCTCCCCACTTGTACAATTGAGATACCACCAGCACCTCACATAACATGGGTTTTGCGAAGATAGATTAATGTTTGTGAAGCACTCACATAATATAGGATGAACACCAAAGAAAAGCCCATGAGGAAATAAATAATTCTGTTTTAAGAGCAGGGTTTGAATTTTCAATAGATAAGACATGGGGCCACTCATACAACAAAATATGGAATATTTGCTCATAATTTACCACTGTCCATTCTGTGCACTGAATGAAACAGGCATCCCATGGAAATAATGGTTATGTAATCATGTAATTAAAGACTGTAACATCTTGCATATGCAGGAGGAGACTGGATTATGGCTGAAAAGGCAACCTTAATTTTAGCATTCCCTGACATTTGAGTTCTTGACTTTGTAACCTTAATTTCTTTTAACATAGTTTTTGTGTAATATGTATATAAATTTTGATAATGAGACAACCAGATTTTATTTTTATTAATAGTAAACAAACAACTACCTAATATTTTATTTACTAGAGAAATTTACCAAGCATCATTTATTTTTCAGTACGTTGTTTTTCATAAAAAGAACTGAAATATAGCAACCTCTTAGTTACTGGGTTATATTTCATACTAAATGTTCTATTAAATTCCCACCATGCTGTTTCCCTTAGGACACATTAAAAAAAATCTTTAGGTACATTCAATTACATGTTCTGCAGAAAAAAGTACAATTCTACAGTTGACTAGCTTCAGGTTATTAAGGCTATTATAGGCTAAATGCATGTGATTATGCTCAGAGAACAGCATTTTGATTCTTTTTCACCTCCTAAGATATAGAACAAATGCTAACTAAATCCCACTAGAGAATCTTTTCTCAAGATCAGTGGGAAAGCAAAAAATGGCAACTTTTTTATATCTTCTTTTTTGGGGAGGAAGGGGGCACAATCATCTCTCTGACCTTTTATTTTTCTTCTTTTGAACATCCAATATTAGCTCTTTATTAGAGATAGAAATTTGAGAAGACATTCCTCTCAAGACTCCGAAGAAATGTGATGTCTGGCCTATAATCATCTATTAAATTCAGATCAAGTTTCAACTTAAAAAAAAAGAAAAAGAGATGATTTGTTTCTAGGGTGGTATTATCAACCAGTTTCCAAATGCTTACATGGGTTAGGTTTAACAACAAAGCATGAACATTCTGTAAATAGGAAGAAATGGAGATGGGATGCAATGAATACTCAATAGGCACTGATCTGTACTATGTGTCTTGATGTTTTGTTTGATTCGTGTATGGGGGGGGTGTTAGTTAACACTTCCTGGATGGGAAGAATAGCTGTATAGGTCTTGCTATAGAAGCTTGTTGTAAGAAAGGTGTTGGAGGAGGGCATGGAGGCATAGCAGACTCGTGTAAAAGGACACGCCTTCCACTTCCTATCTTCCTCTGCACATACAGACTACTTAGAGAATCTCTGCTTGTAAACATCACATGTGGTTTATTTACAATGTTCCCCTGGCACTTGACAGCATTGTGCAGCACTTTATATATGATAGCAGCTTCTTTTAGACCAAGGACAGGAGAGGAAGGAGATCTCTCCCTCAAAAGTCACTCTTGGGACTTCTCTTGCCATCTCTCCCCCGTGTCACTTCTTTCCTATGCCTTTTCTACTTTCTGGGCTAATGGATTAATTAGCCTTGTAGCTCTCTCCAGATCATCCCCAATCTATCAATTAGGCACAATTATCATAGTCAGGTTTACTCCTATGCAACTAATTGGTGATAAAGTGATCAGAGTGCTGGTACAGCTGCTGTTGCCCAACACTCTATCACAACTAGGTAAAGCAAGTTGCTTACAGTGTGGGGATTGCATTGAATGAGATTAACAATGAGAATGGGTACAGAATGTGAAGGGGAATATTTGCTTTTGCTTCCTTTCTTTTTACTTCAGTTGGTCCAGATAGTCACCACTGAATTTTATCATCACTCATGTGAATTCTAAAACCACTTATCAGCTTTCCAGTATCCAGTGTTGTATCTTTAAAGGTATGATAGGGTATACAAACACCACACAAGACAAAAAGGGGTTAAAAAGCAGCTATAGGCTCAGGCAGCCCTGCCTTGCCACACCTGTAAACCATGCCAGGCTTGAGGAGGAGGCTTAAAGGGAGAAGCCCAGACCAGAGGGCTCCATCCCAGGAAGATGAACAGACTTTTCATTTTCAGCTCCCAAACAGGAGCCCAGTCAAGGGTCAGGCTCCTTTAAGTTTCCTGTCGAGACGGAACATTAGTACAGATGGCTAAAGGACCCTTGAGGGATCGTGCTGCTCTTTATTTCTATTAATTTAGCTTTCTTTCCTTTGTCATGTTGGGAACTGGGACCAGGGGCTTGATCCCACAGTAGATCTCTGCTAAGAATGCAAGTTCCTTGAGGAGATGGTGGGCTGACTGAGGAAGTAGTCCAGGGAAGAAGCAAGAGTTATGACAGTACAGAACTTAACCACATGCTTCAGTGTCCCTGGGCTGGAACTCGAAGTAGGGAGAGGGACTGAATTTCCCTAATGCCTCACTGATCCCAGACGCAAGGTGCTAGAAGCATTATTGGGCCTGGACTTGGGCCACTGATGCAAGGGCAAGGAACTACTGAGTTAAACTCTGGTTTATCCCAAAAGGAGTGAGACTAAATGTGTCCTGGCCAGAAGGTCAAGCCCAAGATGAAGGGCACAGCCAGTGGACCTGGACAGCTGGTTGGCAAGGCTATGGAGAGAGCACACCCAGTCACAAGTCAGTGCATCAACTGGTGAATCATTTTGCCATGAAAAGCAATTATTTGATTTATTTCTGAATTGTTTTAATGCTGCTTTTAAAATGGAGACAGAAGAGACAAGTGATGAAAAGCTTGGTCCGATAAAGTAGAGTTAGATTACAAGTGTCTTAAAAAAAAAAAAAAGTTAGGAACAAAGCTGAATTTTGCCAAAGATTTACTCATGTTACCCTTCTAAAATGCACAAACTACTTTTCTAATCTAGCTCAGGTTGTTTGTAAACCTTATTTAAGAAGTATGAGTTGAAACAAATGAATGAAAAATAAATATATTAGTTTTTGCCTACTTAGCTCTCAACAGGTCCTGATCTTTCAGTACTGAGCCTTGCAGATAGATAACTCTTTGAGACCACATTGGAATTTGCAACACCCTTCTCACTTGAGCATCCATCTCAGTAGGACACAAAATAACCACATAATAGTCCTGTCAAAAATATAAAGGAGAGTAGAAATGACATTTAGATTATTTACTGTTACCTTCTGTTGTCACTGGAGTATAGGTTAATAGAGAATCTGGACGTGAAAAAGTATCTGTAATAACTTTTAAAATGGTTTCTTGGATAAACTATTTGAACATTGCACATTTCAGATTCTATAATAAAACTGGAACTTTAAAAATTGTCACAATATTTTTTTCATAAGGTAGGAGACTAATGGGTGGTGCTGGGGAGGAGCTAGTGGTCATGGCACATGTAGGTACCAATGGCATAGGGAAAGGTAGAAGAGAGGTCCTGTAGGCCAATTTAGCCTGCTAGGTAAGAGGTTCAAGTCTAGTACCTCCACGGTGGCATTCTCTAAAAGGCAGGCAGAACTGCAGAGTATCAATACATGAATGGCATGATGGTGAGTGGAGGAGGGATTTAGGTTTATTAGGAACTGGGGAACCTTTGGGGAAAGGAGGAGCCTATACAGTAAGGATGGGCTCCACCCAGGGCCGGTGCAAGGATATTTTGCGCCCTTGGCGAAACTTCCACCTTGCATCCCCCAGAGCATCGCTTATTATAAACTTTTAAAAATGAATACTGCATAATGTGGCATTGATCATTAGAATTAATACACATTTGGCTAGAAAATTTATTAAGTTCATTATTTAGTCTACATATTTAATGAAAATAAATGAATAACCTGACAGGATGTGGGGCTGGCTGGCTTCAGGCAGGGCAGGGGATGTGGAGCTGGTTGAAGATGGTGTGCGGGGTTGGCTGGAGACAGGGGTGTGTGGAGCTGGCTGGCTTCGGGTACGGGGGTGTGACAGGCTGGCTGGGGACAGGGGGTGCAGGGCTGGCTGCGGGCAGGGCAGGGGGTGCATCAGGGGCTGGCTGGAG